CCTGGAATTCCGAGGATAGCCTGGCTGTGGGGTTCCATAGGGCGTTCTTGTTGACTGCCCGAGAGTGTTGGAGAGTGGGGCTGGGCCTACAATACGGTAAATACTTATAAAGTATCTATTTGTTTGTTACAAGCAGTAGCTACGTGGTATCGCTACAGCTGCAGAGATGTGCGGATCGTAACACTTTCAGCGGAATTGCGTTAGAACTACCATATTGTCATTTAGGTGAAAAAAGTTGAACACATGGGTTTGTATCTCATGGATTTACGTTCTGTACCAAAGATTAGTGAAATGACAGGCAACTAAACACTCGTTGTTACTATAATTACGTTACAGAAGGACCACAAGTACTAATCGACAGCAAAAAGATAACACCAAATCAGCAACAATGAAATGTAGTGGTAGGGGATCGAACCAGCAACCTTCTTCCCGATGGACGGGTGCGGAATGGCAGGGGGTATGAGACAGACAGTGATCGTCACAATGAAGTTAGAGTCGCAGAGTCGCAGAGGGATTGGGGGAGGGGTGGGGGGGGGGGGGGGTGGAACCGTTCTCATACTGGCAGCTGGGACCCCTTGCTAATTAGACGCGCCCTATTTGAGTTCGCGGAAGGGAACCGGTTAACCGAGCACCATTCTACGTCATTCATTAAAAAATGTGAAATCATTAAACAGTAATCTAAACAATACGTGAAATGTCCAAAGACTTTTAGGAGGATGAAGACAAGGAAACGAATCGAGTGCTAGAAGTGCTAAGATCCGCACAGTAAAATGTGATGGAGGGTCATTTTGGAAAATTCTTAGCTTACATTTTAGACGGTTACAAATTTATACACCGATATCATTCACTGGACAGGAATTTTTCAAAGGCGTGTTAGCAATCATTCGAAAGCTCGAATCCGTCGCTACAGCTCCCCGTCGCCGGTTCTTCAAAACACCCCTATTTGACGTTTTGAATTTCAGACTAAAATCATGTTTCACACTCGCTTTTCGCCTTCGGTTTTACACGCGAGTAATTCGCTGGAATCACGAAAGGCATATCAGCGTGTGGAAAGTTTTCTGTAGAACCCTACGTTTTTATCTGAAGTTTCTGTCGATGTGGTGAAAAAAAATTCTCCAGATGAGGAACAATAATTCAAACGCAATCCATCGCCCCGCCGCGCACTCCGTTTCGTGAATGCCGTTAGATAAGGTCGTCGAAAATGTGAAAGTCGATCGATTTTCCCTGCCAAACAGCATTTCCAGAGAACAAGTACGATGTTGGAATCGTTGGAACATACGACATCGAATGCTTAGTGATAGTCTAGAGAAAGGGCGCTGCCCGTTGAGGATTGAAGCACAGAACTTCTTTCGCTTACAGCGCTACCAAAAAAAGCTTTTCCTAAAATCAGAAACATTTCTGAGTTCTTCGAAGCTTGTGCTATAAAATGAGAACTAGCACTTCAAGAAAGGAGTTTTGTCTAGCGAAATATATGCGCAATAAGAAAAAAAGCACGTGGTCGTGTGAAACATTATTTTGGATTTTATAACGCTGTTGTTTTGAAAAACCGACCACGTAGAGCCCTATCCAGAGTTTTAGGTTTTTGAATACTCACTAACACTCCCATAAAAAGTCCGTGTCCAGCGAATGAGACCGATTCATAAAGTTGTTTGACATATAAGTACCAAAAACTCGGAAGGAAGAATATTTCCAAGATTTTTTGACCATTATTTTGTGGAATGAAATCATTGTTATAGACTTATCAAGCTTTGAACAGTGCTACCTTAATTGTCGAAAAATTATCGCTAGTAATTCGTTATTTTCCTCTTAACTCATACACGAGGTTTTATATCACTGAAGAAGTCGAAACTTTCGAGACGTCAGCTGTCTGAATATGCAATGTTATGAGGCCTCGTATCTGGCTTAAAAAGAAAATGAAGAATTACTGAAGCATGCCGAGGTTAATAAATAGTCATTCTTGGAAATTATCGCTAGTTATTATTTTTTTAGGGACTTTGAGTTTTGTTTTTGAGCCCACTATTATTTGGAGTCTTTTTTGCTTAGCGCGACTAATTGAGCAGCTTTTTTCAGTTTTTCGATGGCCTGAAAACGGCAATTTCAATGTCGTACTTGGTTACTGAAAAGACTTTAGTATACTGTAGCGCGTTAGGAAAATCACGTTTCATCTTCGACATGGATTCTATGCTCAGTTCTCGCCTGTGCTGGCTTGTCACTACATTTTTAGTAGTAATTCGACATCTGCAATACTGCTTATGCTAATACTAAACTGTTGTCTCGGAAAAGTTCATAGTGTTCTGTCAGCGAAAAGAAGATAAGGTCTAACCTTTGCAGGACTTAGTCCGTAGCTTAATCATCATGGCGAATTTACTGGTACTATGAAATAAAAATGGAATGCCATTAGCTATGGAGAACGACTAAACAAACTCTCTTCTATAATATATACAAATGTTTCAATTAAAACGCACTAATATTGAAAAATTGTGGTAAGTTGTCTATGAACTGATGTCGCATTTAGTGCGCAGTATAATTCTGACAAACAAACGTTTTTTCTTCACATATAGAAGTTATATGTGCGTAAAAAAGAGAGAGTGTACAAGAAAACATAGAGCATCAAAACATCAAGAGTAAGCCAGAAACTTTCACGAAATAGCGGCAGAAGCACTAATTAACTCAGTCGGGACAGCATTTGATCAATCACGCAACGCGACTCTGACATGGCGCGCGGCTTTCGTTATTCAGTGATTCTTCCCCCTCTTGATGAACAGGCTGGGCTTTCAGTACTAATCTGATAATCCATGGAATCCTCTACACGCTCATATGCTTTGATCCATATGTGACATTTACGTGCGAAGAAAATTTCGAAGGTGAAGCGTGATCTTTTTGCTCTTACTGCATTGCATGGAAATCTTTCCAGGTTTTTCAAATTTGTTTTCAGAATTGCCATTTTGCTATTGAAGAATTACTAAAATTCCAATGAAAAATCTATCCACAGCCGAGCAAAAATTGTGCGGCGAGTGTGAAACGCAATCTTAATTTAGCTGCTGCAGCTCGCTGAGAATGCCTTCTTAGAAAACAAGTTCAGTTCTGAATTCGCCAGGATTTATGCTTTTGTAAATTGGTTCAATGTTTGTGAGAACAGATTACAGGCCCTCAAATAGTGGTTGACATAAAAAGGTTTACGCCGTTCCGAGCGGATAAAATATGAAAAATTGTCCTGCGCACCGTGATTTGAACTGAGATATCGAGTGGGTCAAATCTTCGCGGAAAATTCATGTTGAAAAACTGGCGTCATTTCTGAGTTTTGTTTCCAACAAAAAAAATAACAGAAGAGAAAACGATAAAAAGTTGCGGATTTTATATCAATTGTGGTTATAAGATGTCGCTTAGAAATTCCAGAACTAACTCGCTCAACCGAAACTAAATAATTAATTATTAACTCTAACACAGTTCGTGTTGCTCTTCCTGGTGATAACTGCTTTGGAACACCGATAACTTACAAATATACCCGTGACTTCGAGTTGATCAGGTTTCCACGGGAGCTTGCAGTGCTTAGTCGGTATCTTAGGTGACAACGCTAAGATGTCATTCGGAAATCTTTGTTCCTTTTTAATGCTTTCAATTTGGGGTGTTGGTCACATCTTGCCCCTATAATCTGCACAACGTTCTATCGTCCATGTTCTCGGCATTTTTTCGTTGAAAAAGATGAGCGGAACAACGTCATGGTAAACTGTATAGGAGTTTTGATCTTTTTTCTTCGTAGGATCTTCGCGGATTTATCCAAGATATCAGGTTGGAAAGAAAATCCTGGTGCACTTGTAATAAGAAGAAATTTATGCACGAATTATAAACAAAAACGATAATTACTATTCTTCAAAGTGAAGGTCACCGTTTTCTACGAATTTCTGCCATCGGTCTCCAAGTTTCCGATCTCGTTGAATTACTAATCCTTATCCTTTGACTGCGATGAACCATGTCAAGAGTTGTTTGAATCGAAGTTGAAGGAATGGTTCTACTACCAGATCCGAAACTTGGCGAACTGGTGGCAGAAAGTTGTAGAAAATGATGGCCTTTACTTTGAAGAGTAGTTATCCTTGTTTTTGTTTGGAATTTAAGACTAAATTTTAAATTTTTTACAAGTGCCCCGGCTTTCTTTCCAACCTAATAATATTGCTATCAACCGCTAATCTTCGCAGTTTCAGAGTTCCACTTTATTGTTTATTCGAAATTTTTGCGTCCTGTAGTGGTTGTGTTCTTTGAACTTTCAATTATGTCAAAAGGATGTGTTAGTCAGGCTGAAGTTTTTTTTAGTTCCTGACCACGTGCAATAATAGCTTTCGGTCGACTATTTTGAGACCTCGCTAAAGAGAGTGTGGTCTGATAACATATTTTGAGCTTTTCATTGGGTCTGTTATGGGGCACTGCACTCTATAGTCACGGGCCTAGCAGCTTCATCAATTGCACGGTGTCTTTTTTTCGAAAAATTCCACGGGGACCTAATCCTTACATAGAGGAATCGACAGCGAAAGAACGTCACAATGATTTTTTCACCATATGTTGAGCAGGAGGTATATCTCGAGGAACTGATTGAACGAAAAGGCACCGTGCAAACGACGAGGCTCCAAGGCCGATACACGTCTCTTGCACTGTACAAGTGCCCATAGCAGACCTCCATGAAAGGCTCAAAATATATTATCACATTACTGTCCTTCTTCAAGTTATGTGGTGTTCTATTCTAGCGGATGAGAAGCTGTTCAGAGAAAGCGTTAGATAACACGATTTTGATTTTAATGTCCCAGAAGTGCACAAGAACAAATGTGGGAATGAATTTACCCGATAATGTTTAGTGATGTGTAAAACTTTGACATGAAGCGGGAATCGAACCCGTATTTCATTCTTTCCGGGGACGTATTCTAACCATTTGCACTACCGACGCCAAAATAAATTATTCAGCAAAGTCGATTCTTCGATATTTCTCTCAGAAATAGCAACGCTCTTTCTATATGGTCTAGTAAAACGTTTGAGTAAAAGTTTTAATTCATTTGGAAGATATATAGATTCATTAAAACTTGTAAATTTCGTTAAGCTTTTGACTAACAGAAAGTTTTTACATGACTCATTATAACAGATCATGCGGATTACATCAGTTCTTTGATACGATTTCACTTCATGCAATGCATCATCAGCGAAAGTTTGTATTTTTGTTTAGTTGTGTACAAAGTTCGCGCTATTTGGGTTTTCAAAGCAATTTTTTTAGTGAAATTGCATGACTCTGGTATCGTTGAATTGCGCATTTTCTTCCTAATATTTTGGTATACAATTTGCCTATACTGGCCTTAGGATGAAGCTTTTGTGAACATAATCGTCAGAATGGCGCGTGGGGAAAATTCCTAGTTAAATGGCGCCCAAGATTAGTGCAGCTTGGGACGATGATACGGTTGCAGATAGGACAGCTGGAAAGTGGTTCGTGAAGTTCATAGTTGGAGAGAGCAGTGTGTAGTTTCAGTCGCGGTCGGACCTTTTACAGAAGTTGATCGTTAAGCTGTCCGAGGTGGTCGAAGAGAATTCCCCAATGGCATGCCGAAAGCTAGCCAAAGAATTCGATTGTTGCTTCAAGACCATCGCCAACATTCTGCATAAACTGGGTTCGATCTGGAAAAAATCAAAGTAAGTGGTACCTGAATTGACCGAAATCGCAGAAGGAGAATTGTACTGAAGTTGTTCATTGTCATCTCGGAAGATGGGCTCGCGAGCCCGGCTTCCTGAACGGAAACATCATCAGTTGTGATGAAAAGAGAGGGTTTGGCAGGAAGTTATCGAGTTCGATGCATTTTGATTAGTAGTTTTGTTTTTCGTTCGGAACAAAGTATTGCAGAAATATTGTTAAAAAATCAAAGCGATACGAAGTTTCTACACAACCTATTACTTGAAGACTTGGATCCTTATGATTGTCACTGTGCAAAGGTCGAGTCGTACTCTTAAGAATCTTAGGGACATTCATATTAATGCATTCACAGTTGGTTTTTCAGCCCCGACATTCACCATACTTTTTGGATAGGAAGGAGCTAACCAGATATGGCTCGTACTGATTCCCTAATTCTGGCAGACTGGGCCGCCTAGTTATCCGAGGCGAAGTTAAAGCATCACTTCGCGCTTCGCGAGCAATCTTTCAGATCCGAACACTCTTTCTGTCAGAGTAAAAGTTTAGTTATGATTCTTGAATAAGTCAGCAAGTCTAAATCTACGTGTTCCTCCCCTTAACTGAACGTCTGTTAGAACGGTACCACTGAACTATGGCAACTCATTAGCCTGTCGCTTCTTGAAACGGCGGAAAAAATATGTGGTGACGTGATGTCGAATGATCTCCTTCCATCAGTGGTCAAATGTGAAGCGAAAGGAGAAGACTCAAATCAGAATAAGACAAAACGCGTGTTATACTCAAGTACTTGTTCTGTAAGCTAATTTTATAGCTCTCTAGATCTTTCTCTTTCACCTTCACCTCCATGAATTTGGTGATTAACTTATTTAGCAAGGATCCGATCGGATCCAGCTGTCGATCCATGGTAGCGCTTGTTCCTGGCCGTTGGTTTCTGTTCCAAAATCTAAAGCTGTGAATAGTTTCCCTGTGTTCGACGAGTTCTTTCCTCCATGCAGGTCAGCTACTGAACAGTACTTTTTCTTCTTTTCAATTCGCAGAAGCAACACTTAGCGCAAAGCATTTATTTTGTGCCGAAACTCTTTTTATCAGTTGGTGTCCATGTCAGGTTTTGGCAGCCTCGTTTGCCTTTGAGATCTTAGCAGCCTCTCCGTACTTGTCCTACCCGACGTTACCGTACCGGGGGCCTCTTTGAGGTCACGGGATCGAGGCCCATTTTTATTATCGTTTTCGGCGTTTTGATAATCCTACGTAAAGCTTGCTAGGCTCTGGACGTGAGGGCTAGGTACTTTCGGGTAGCTTGCCAGTTTGTCTTAAAGGGGCAGGAGCTTACGTGATGGAGGCGACTCCTAACCTCCTCCCATGTACTTCCCATCCGCTAGGTTGTTTGCTTTTGGCCAATTTGACTCGTTGACTTGGAGACTGTCCAATTGACGCTGCAGAAGCAATAAGCTCATCCCCAGAATCCACCTCTGGGAAGCAAACTTTCGCTTTTGGTTAGCGTATAATCCTCCTATCCACCACCTTGAAACGCGTTACGTGCCCTCGAGACCAACGGGGCTCTGGATTCCCTCAAAGAGGGAGGGGAGGATTGCGACCATATCAGATAGCTCTTTTTGCATGGCATTCCGATCTGAAGTGACACTGCTATTTTCACACGTAGTGCCGGCTTTAGAGCCTTTGTATTGAATGTTCTTTTGATAACAAAAAAGGTCACATTTAGTTTCTCATAGTTATTTTCGTGTGCAACCGTTTTTAGATCTTCACTCATCTCAGTATATCTCTCGAATCGATTTCGAATCGTCCGATTTATAATTTGTTTTATATTGGTAGACGCTTGTTTTGCAGTGTCTGTAAGCGTAAGTCGTTTTTCTCAAATAAAATTCTTTCTCCTCCTCATCTCGTGATATTTGTAGATTTATTTATCTCGGTTTTCGAACAGTTTTTGCGAAAGCTTACCAGTATTTTGCGATCTTACGTTTTGTATATTTTCTTTTTTCTATATGACGCTGGTTACAAATGGGAAGAGAGGCAGCGATAGCCGTATGGTCAGTGATGCAGGCTATTAGGGAACAAGGTGCTGGTTCGACCCTCGCAATTCTCTGTAGCGATCACTTGGGAATGTTTTAGTTTGACTATCTCCAAGAGTGCTAGGAGATCTGAATCTATCAGTATTCTGCGTCATCATGAGGAGGACGAAATCCACAATCACTTCTCGGAACAAGGTACTGAATGGTCGCAGACTTTTGGAACGATAATTACGAGAAGTTAAGAGTTAATATCAAAAGAACGAGAATACGAGATAATTACGGGTAGAAAATAACTGGAAATATTCTGGAAGTAAACATTGAAGAATACCTAGCTGTATGTTCCACCATCTATAGAACCCTTTTTAATAGAAAAAAAAGCTTTGGAAATGGAAAGGTGGTCAAATATTTATTATGCAGCGATTTGCTTGTAAAACCATGTGCTCCAATAATACTTCGGGTGAGTGAAAAATCTCAAGGGATTCTTGAATGCTAGACAGCTCCGTAAAGTAACATGATAAATTATTAGACATGCCACAAGCTCATCATACACGAAAACATGACGTCGTACCATGAAAAAGTGAGAAAAATCTTCATCACAAAGCTTATTCTTGGTGAGGCAATCATAGACAACGTTTTTAACTTCTGGAATAAGTCCGTCCAAAGACAGGTTTCGAGCAGCTTTTGGAGGCCATACGTAACATTAGGTCAGAAATAAGGTTCTGGTTTACTTTTTAAAAATTAAAAATTTATGCACGAATTCCAGATAAAAACAATGACAACTATTCTCGAAAATGAACGCCATTATTTCCTACAACTTCTGTCATCGGTCCATGAGTTAGCATAGCTGTATGAGAAACATCAAGTTCAGTTGCCGATTCGCGACCACCTGAAGACGGTTCATCTTCCAAAGCAGCTTTCTGTTCAACTTTGTTGGACGCCCTGAACAAAGCTTGTCTTCGATGTCAATATCTCTGGCATTGAGAAGCGTTGATACCAGCGTCCAGTAGCGGATTTGCTTGTTGTGTCTTCCCTTCAACTTTTGATATCATCGACTGCAGCTAGCTGTGAAAACTCTTTCTCCAATAACAAGGCATTACACGATTTTCGATTGCATCGTTCGACAGAAGAGGCTCGTAACAAAGTGAAAATAAGTGTGAATAACACCTAGGCCTTCAGTAGCAAATGTCAAATAAAAGCTGTAATACTCCCACGATTCTCATATAAGCGTGAGAATTATCTCATGCTTATTAAAGTGCTCCAGAACTTTCTTCATAACCGTAGTACATGTATTGGTCAGACTCCACTCCCGAATAAATCAAAACGCTCTATCTCACGAAGTCGGAAAATTGGTGAAAGACTTATCTGAGAAAATGAAAACAATGACCCAGGACATTGGTATATGCCACCGAAAGCAGTTCTATAGAGCAACAATGCATTCAGTCACCTATTACGACACTTAATGGATTTTCATGCATTCCATTCGTGGACATTCATTAGCGATTGGTCACCACTGGGCGCTCTGTCATGTTATGTATCAACATATTTTTCGGTAAATTTATACTGTCCATTACTTATCGCGCTCTGTAGAGAACTGACAACATGAACTTTGCATAGTGATTGAGCTAGCTTCACGACTATTATGTAGCAAGTTCATTCAGATTAACATTTTGACGCCTTTTGTCTTCTTCAGAGCCGATTGATCCGCATAACTTATTCTACATGATGTTTTCACAACCTTATTCTGGATGCTAATTGACAGGAACGCACAGGAAAACGTATCCTCGATTGCAATACACTTTGGTATGACCAAAATCTTTCTTGTAATATGTCAAAGTGAGATTGTCACAGAAAATATTTCGATTGATTTTAGCTCTTTGTGCTCATCAGATCTACAATGATTCGAGTCGTTTATCCACAGATTTTCTTCTCCAATGTGTGCTTTCACATCGGTTAAATCAAAATGAATTTTCAGGGTGGAATACGGTTCAAATAAAATCTGATAAGACGGCATTGCGCTCTTATACAGGACGGCTCAAGACTGACTGATTGCCAGTTAAGAAAGATTTGTTTCCTCCAGATGATTCATCATGTTGTAGCCGGCATTAAATTGAATTGCATAGTGAAGCAGGGCCTCAATAAAAACAGACTTTCATTTGAATTCGTTACGAGCAGTCATTATTTTGGATCATTATAAATTCAATAACCGAAATATTACGGAAAATAATCCGCCTAATAATTCGACGCCCTCGCT